AGGAAGATGGGCATGGATGTTAGCCCAGGGCCAGTCTTCCTCAGCAAAAAGAGGAGGATTGGCAGTTGTTAGCTCAGGAGAAAAAAAAAAAAAAACTTGCCCTCAAAAAAAAAAAAAAAAAAAAACTTGCCCAAAAATCAGCAACAATTGAAGAGCAAAGTATTTGTGTAAGAAACCTTGAATCTTTTAAAACTACATCCAATGTCCCTTTTCTGTGTTCCCATTGTACAACCCTGTGTTTACCTCTATGATTAATTATCTACCCATTTCTGCCTCTACCTTGGTCCTGGAAAGGTACCCAAGACCTTCCTTATGATTCCTCCTACACTTATTACACTAGATCATAATTGCCAATTTTTTTACTTGTCTCTACCACTGGACTCAAATTTCCTTGAAAACATCGACTATGTCTTATTCATATTTATTCATAGCAGCTAGTACAGTTTCAGCCACAGTTATTTGTTAAATGCATGACTCCACCTTTAGTCTTTGTTTTAGCCACACGCTACCTGCAGTTCTCAGAATTTCCCTTGTTCTTTAACAATCTGTGCAAATGTTATTCCCTTGAGCTAGATTCCCTTTCTTCTCCTCACTCTCTACTTTGCAAATTCTTGTTTCTTATCCCTAGAGACTCTGTTGAAATAACACTCAGGTAAACAATGATCAGGTAAAGCTCCGAAATTCCTTTTCTGGACTCATGGATTTACACTTACTTTTGTCACTATTCTCCTTTGTGTCCCCCTTTCTAGACGATGAGACCCTGGTCAGAGACACTGTTCTATTCATCTCCTGCCCCTAAAACAATGCTCAGCTCGTTGAAGATGCTCAATAAATATGACTGGATGGATGGATGACTGAAGCATCCAGAGCCCACTCAGCTCCTGTTCCCATGCACCAGCACAGCCTGACCACTCTCTGAGGACTGGCAGGTGCAGAGGTCCTCTCGTTGTCTATTCACTGCCACTTGTGGTCCTGCTGTTGCACTCTGGAGGTTCACAGACAATCTGAGTTGAGGCTCAGATATCTCACTTGGAGAAAATCAGAAGCTCACACAGGCTTTTTTCTTGGTATAATCAAAAATGTTTGCATGCTCCTCTTTCTTCCTGCCAAGTCTCACAGTTTTGTGCTGATCCATTTAGCGAGTCCCTCTCTTCAGTGGGTTTTGTCAGGGGAGAGCCCATGCCCGTTTTGTTCACTGCTGTGTCCCCAGCACCTGGCACAATGCTGGGCACAGAGTAGGCACTCCATAAATACTACCTGGATGAATGAAGGACTGGCTAATGAAAATAAAAACATTTTGAAGAAAAATGTTTCAGGAGC